ATAGAATGAGTCTGGAAGTTGTCCTTCCCTTTTTGTTTTTTGGAATAGCTTGAGAAGGATAGGTATTATCTCTGCTTTAAATGTCTGGTAGAATTCCCCTGGGAAACCATCTGGTCCTGGACTCTTATTTGTTGGGAGATTTTTGATAACTGATTCAATTTCTTTGCTGGTTATGGGTCTGTTCAAGCTTTCTATTTCTTCGTGTTTGAGTTTTGGAAGTGTGTAGGTGCTTAGGAATTTGTCCATTTCTTCCAGGTTGTCCAGTTTGTTGGCATACAATTTTTCATAGTATTCTCTGATAATTGCTTGTATTTCTGAGGGATTGGTTGTAATAATTCCATTTTCATTCATGATTTTATCCATTTGGGTCATCTCCCTTTTCTTTTTGAGAAGCATGGCTAGAGGTTTATCAATTTTGTTTATTTTTTCAAAAAACCAACTCCTGGTTTCATCGATCTGCTCTACAGTGTTTTTTTTTTTTATTCTATATTGTTTATTTCTGCTCTGATCTTTATTATTTCTCTTCTTCTGCTGGGTTTGGGGTGTCTTTGCTGTCCTGCTTCTGTTTCCTTTAAGTGTGCTGTTAAGATTTTGTATTTGGGATTTTTCTTGTTTCCTGAGATTGGGCTGGATTGCAATGTCTTTTCCTCTCAGGACTGCCTTCACTGCATCCCAGAGCATTTGGATTGTTATATTTTCATTTTCATTTGTTTCCATATATTTTTAAATTTCTTCTCTAATTGCCTGGTTGACCCATTCATTCTTTAGTAGGGTGTTCATAGCATTGTGGTCTGAAAGTATGCATGGTATGATCTCAATTCTTGTATACTTATGAAGGGGTGTTTTGTGACCCAGTATGTGATCTATGTTGGATAATGTTCCATGTGCACTCGAGAAGAAAGTATATTCTGTTGCTTTGGGATGCAGAGTTCTAAATATATCTGTCAAGTCTATCTGATCCAATGTATCATTCAGGGCCCTTGTTTCTTTATTGATCCTGTGTCTAGATGATCTATCCATTGTTGTAAGTGGGGTATTAAAGTCCCCTGCAATTACCACATTCTTATCAATAAGGTTGCTTATGTTTGTGATTAATTGTTTTATATATTTGGGGACTCCCGTATTCAGCGTATAGACATTTATAATTGTTAGCTCTTCCTAATGGATAGACCCTATAATTATTATATGATGCCCTTCTTCATCTCTTGTTACAGCCTTTAATTTGAAGTCTAGTTTGTCTGATATAAGTATGGCTACTCCAGCTTTCTTTTGACTTCCAGTAGCATGATAGATAGATCTCCATCCCCTCACTTTCAATCTGAAGGTGTCCTCAGGTCTAAAATGAGTCTCTTGTAGACAGCAAGTAGATGGGTCTTGTTTTTTTTATCCATTCTGTTACCCTATGTCTTTTGATTGGAGCATTTAGTCAATTTACATTCAGTGTTATTATAGAAAGATATGGGTTTAGAGTCATTGTGATGTCTGTAGATTTCATGCTTGTAGTGATGTCTCTGGTACTTTGTGGTCCTTGCAACATTTAACTCACAGAATTCCCCTTAGGATCTCTTTGTAGGGCTGGTTTAGTGGTGATGAATTCCTTCAGTTTTTGTTTGTTTGGAAAGACCTTTATCTCTCCTTCTATTCTGAATGACAGACTTGCTGGATAAAGGATTCTCGGCTGCATATTTTTTCTGTTCATCACATTGAAGATTTCCTGCCATTCCTTTCTGGCCTGCCAAGTTTCAGTAGATAGGTCTGTTAGTAGTCTTATTGGTCTCCCTTTATATGTTAGAGTGTGTTTATCCCTAGCTGCTTTCAGAATTTCTCTTTATCCTTATATTTTGCCAGTTTCACTATGATATGTCGTGCAGAAGATGGATTCACGTTATGTCTGAAGGGAGTTCTCTGTGCCTCTTGGATTTCAATGCCTTTTTCCTTCCCCAGATCAGGGAAGTTCTCAGCTCTGGTTTGTTCAAGTATACCTTCAGCCCCTTTCTCTCTCACTTCCTCTTCTGGAATTCCTATTATACGGATATTGTTGCATTTGATTGCATCACTTAGTTCTCTAATTCTCCCCTCATACTCCTGGATTTTTTTTATCTTTTTCTCAGCTTCCTCTTTTTCCATAATTTTATCTTTTAATTCACCTATTCTCTCCTCTGCCTCTTCAATCCGAGTGGTGGTCACCTCCATTTTATTTTGCACCTCATTTATAGCATTTTTTAGCTCCTCGTGACTATTTCTTAGTTCCTTGATCTCTGTTGCAGTAGATTCTCTGCTGTCCTCTATACTTTTTTCAAGCCCAGTGATTAGTTTTATGATGATTATTCTAAATTCTTCTTCCATTATAATGCTTAAATCATTTTTGTTCAATTTGTTAGCTGTTGCTACTTCCCAGAGTTTCTTTTGAGGAGAGTTCTTCTATTTTGTCATTTTGGATAGTCCCTGGAGTGGCACAGAACTGCAGGGCACTTCCCCTGTGCTGTCTGGAGTAACTTGTGTTGGTGGCAGGGGCCACAGTCAGACCTGATGTCTGTCTCCAGCCCACTGCTGGAGCCACAGTCAGACTGGTGTGTACCTTATCTTCCCCTCTCCCAGGGGCAGGACTCACTGTAGAGTGGTGTGGCCCCTGTCTGGGCTACTTGCACACTGCCAGGCTTGTGGTGCTGCTTTGATGGGATCTGGTGTATTAGCCGGGGTGGATCCGCAAGGTGCACAGGGGTGGAAGGGGCAGGCATAGCTTGCTTTGCTATCAGTGGTCCCCTGAGGGAGTAGTCCTGCAGCACCGGGAGGGAGGCCAACCCGTTGGAGGGATGGATCCACAGAAGCACAGTGTTGGGTGTTTGCGCGGTGCAGGCAAGTTCAGTGAACTGGTTCCCTTTGGGGTTTCGGCTCGGCTGGGGGATGGGAAAGGGAGATGGCGCTGGCCAGCGCCATTGTTCCCCACCGAGCTGAGCTCTGTCTTCCAGGGCTCAACACCTGTCCCTCCCCCTGTCCTCTCGCCCTCACGTTCTCTGAGCAGAGCTATTGACTTATAACATTCCAGATGTTAAGTCCCACTTGCTGTCAGGACTCACGCAGGCAGGCCGACCCCTCCACTTTTGCAAGCCAGACTCAGGGGCTTTGCCTTGCTAGGCGGGCTGGCTGCCCCTCCACTGCACCAGCTCCCTCCTGCTAGTCCGTGTAGCATGCACTGCCTCTCTGCCCTTCCTACCCTCTTCCGTGGGCCTCTCGTCTATGCTTGGCTCTGGAGAGTCTGTTCTGCTAGTCTTCTGGCCATTTTCTGGGTTATTTAGGCAGGCATGGGTGGAATCTAAGTGACTGGCAGGATGAGGTGAGCCCAGCGTCCTCCTGCACCGCCATCTTCCCTGGATTTCTAAGCTTGTATATTTTAGAAGTGTGATTTATGTAATCTGTTCAGTTGTCAGGTTTTATTTTTAAGGTTCATATTAAGGATTTCTTATTAGAGGCCAGTTTTTCCTTACTACTGAGAAGGGGTGGGGAGGGATGAACAGAGAGTACAAAACATGACTAATTGGTAGACCAGTTGCATAGATTAAAAAAAAATTTTTTTTAATGTTTATTTTTGAGAGAGAGAGTGAGTGAGCAAGGAAGGGGCAGACAGAGGGGTAGAGAGAGATGGAGACATAGAATCCAAAGCAGGCTCCAGGCCCTGAGCTGTCAGCACAGAGCCCGATGTGGAGTTCAAACCCATAGACCACAAGATCATGACCTGAGCTGAAATCGGATGTTTAACTGACTGAGTCACCCAGGCACCCCAAGTTGCATAGATTTTTAAATTGTGACTTTTTTTTCTCTACTGATATACAACTTAGTCTTAATACTTTACAAAGACTTTGAATTTTTTGTTTTCATATTAAAATCTCAAGGAAACTGATTAAGAGACCAAGCAGTCAGCTTGGGCACAGAAGAAACTTAAGAAAATGTTATCCCATATTAGCATTTTCTGCTGAACTTGAGGAATAAATACTTTTTGTGATATTTGGGGTTTTATGTTTCAGTGACCTGTTTAGGGAAACTTTTCTGCTATAAGGGCTGAATATAAGTTGCAAAGATTTAAGCCTTTCCTGATATTAATGTTCCACCTCATTAACTTCATTGTCAGCGCTTTTACACTTCATTGATTTAAATAAAATGATATAACTGTAGTTCTGTCCTTTCTCTGTCTCTCTCTCCTTTTTGAGGTCTAGATGATTGTGTATTTAGTTTTGTATTTTCATTTAGACTCCGTTGTTAATTTTGTTAAGCCCAAGATGAGGATAAAGGGAAATTATGGTATAACTAAATGTCTTACCCTGCTGAAGCCCTGACAGATAAGGGAATGCATTTGTTGAGATAAACCCATCACTTTCTTTTTTAGCTAGTGCTTTAACATTTGTTATGGTCTTCAGGTGCTCCTCAGAGATCATGAACTTCTATTCTATTGTGAAGTTCAGATTGGTGATTATATAGGAGCTTTCACATATATCCCATGGTATTTTTAGACCTGGAACCCAAATAATGGAGAACTTGGCTTTAAAAAAGCAAGCTATGTTTGTCCTTAAAAATGTTATCTAAGCATTTTCAGTAAAATAGGAATTATGCAATGATTTCTCAAGGAAAGTCACCTTTGCAAATATTTGCAATTACTTCCAAGTGGTAGACCTATTTAGGCAGTAAGGTTTTTTTTTTTTGCATGATTTACTGCCAGATGTGAGCCCTCCTTAGCACCATATACCCCAAGTGCGAGTTAGATGTCTTTGTTAACATTTAGAGAAAAAGAACTTAATGAACTTGAGTTCGGGGCAACGAAGCTGTCATGTTGCCAAGATGTTTTGCATTAAAAAATAATTACTAACATATTAATAAATAACTTTATGAAGATTAATCCGTATTTGACCCTTAAATTTAAATATTTAGCAAAGAATTTCATTTTACAGAAGTTAGGTGCTGACATGAGATAGTGGTGTTCATTTCTAACCATTTCTTTTATTTTCCAGCTCACCAGCGACTAGAACCAGCAACTTTGTCAGCAATTGTGGCATTTATCCTCAGTCTTTTATGTGGAGCTCTGAATTTAATTCGAGGTTTTCATGCCATAGAAAGTCTTTTGCAGGTACTGTGCTGATTTTGCAATTTCAGGTGACTGTGCCTGTTGCTTCTACTTGTTACTCAGTTGATTTGAATTGATTTGGGTATTGCATGCTCAATTTCTGTATTCTTTATGCCAGCCCTGGTCTCCCCTTCCTCTAAGAACAATGATTTCTAGTTGGCCTCTTTGACTCAATTAGCATGTATTTATTTATAATTTACTCTGCAGGAGGCACTGTAGGTGGATACTCTGGGGACACCAAGGTATGTGTGACATGAACACTGCAGTCTCAGAGCCTAGAGTTGAATTGGGAGGGGGCAAAGCCATCCATCAATAATTACCAAGTACATAGAGTTTGGAAGAGGAGCAGTCACTGCGAGTCAGGATAGGAGAAGACTGTGGAGGAGGGGTGAGCTGGACCTAGAAGGATCTGAGTGGAAAGAGAGGAATGGAAAAAAAAAAAAAGAGGGCATTTATGGGCAGGTTTTTGTCCCACTTTTATGTATTTCTACCTTGTTATATCCTTTTTTTTTTTTTCCTTTTTAATTGGAGGCTACCAGAAACCACTATTTTTTTTTTTTTTTTTTCAAATATTGCCAACGATTCTGTTTTCCAGTGGAGTTTTCTCAGAGACTCTGGCTATCAGAATATACTAACTTTTTCTCTTTTATAAAGTTTTTGAAACTTCCTTTCTTAAAGTTTAGCACATTTCAGACTGGACAGCTTTCCTTACCTTTGTTTCTGCTCACTTTCTCTGAAGATTTTTTCTTGACACTTGCACATATAAATAAATTCTCTGTTTTTGGTCAGCATTAAGCTCAGAATACCAGTTGTAAAAAAAAACCACTTAACATGCCTTATATTCTTTTTCAAAATTGCTTGTTTTCTTTGGGGAACACTCAGAGAGTACCATTCTGAGTACCCTCTGAATGTCGTCAGCTCTTTGAAGCCAGTAGCAGAGCACATCACAAGTTTCAGGCAGCTGAGCTGTCCCTTGGGTGGGGAGGAGGAGTGTCTCATGACTTTTTAATTCTTCTTTCAAATATCCTGAGCCCTCAGGTAAAGCTCCTCTTCCCTTTCAGGCACAGTGTCCCTTGGTGTTCCTGCCCCTGTTCCCTAGCCAGGTCAGCTTTATTCCAGCAGGAGTTCAATTTTGAGCCAGTTAGACAGCCTGCCAAAAAGAAACAAAGGCAATTTGGAGACCACTGACTGAAAAAGTTAATAAATAAGATATTCTCTCCCCTCCCCACCTTTTTTTTTTTAAAACTTGTTGTAGTGGAAAGAACAGTAGTGTGGGTGTGTGAAGAGTTAGTTTTTATTTGTGGAGCAAAGAGAGTGATGGTTCCAGTTCAGCTCCTGATTAGCTCTATGACCTTGAATAGTTCACTTTGGTTTCTGGTCTTCAGTTTCATTACTTATAAATGAAGGAGAAGGTTGGATTTGATGAGTATTTCTCAAAGTATGGAGCACATTTATCACAGGTTGCATAGTAGATGACTTTAGGTGGTTAGAGGGATGAATGTTTTTAATTTTAAGAGTTATGTATTTAATGTATATTAATGTATAATAACTGTATTTGGTAAGAGATAGTATCTGTTAATGATAGAGATATAAAATTTTTTTATGTTTGTTTATTTTGGGGGGAGGAGGGGCAGAGATAGGGAGACAGAGGATCCGAAGCAGTCTGCCCCCTGTTAGTGCAAAGCCCAACGTGGGGTTCAAACCCTCAAATGGTAAGATCATGACCTGAGCTGAAGTCGGATGCTCAACTGACTGAGCCACCTAGGCACCCCTAAGATTTCTTTTTAAAATAATTTTAATAAAATGCCAACTTTATGCATTTTATTAAGTAAATAGTGGTATAATTAGTATTTACAGTTGGCAAAAATTGTGAAGATGGTTTTCTGTGGTTAAAAAAAAATTCTCAAGTTGTTTGAAAGTAGCAAATTAGTAAGGGGAGGGGGCAGATCTGGGTAGAGAAGTTTTTGTGCTATAGAGCTGTACCATCCCTGACTCAGAAGACAGTGTACAAGTGTGAAACCTGGACCTTAGACCCTCCTTACTTTTAAAAGTCAGGCAAGGTTGTTGTATCTCACAAAACCTATTAAAGAAAGTAATTTCTGCCTGGGTGGCTCAGTCACGCATTCGACTCTTGATTTAGGCCCGGGTCATGATGTCACAGTCATGGGATCGAGCCCTGTGTCAGACTCAGTGCTGAATGAACGTGGAGTCTGCTTGGGATTCTGTCTCTCCCTCTCTCTGCCTCTTTCTCTCACTCTCTCAAAATAAGTAAACATTTTATTTTATTTTATTTTATTTTATTTTATTTTTAATTTTTTTCAACGTTTTTATTTATTTTTGGGACAGAGAGAGACAGAGCATGAACGGGGGAGGGGCAGAGAGAGAGGGAGACACAGAATCGGAAACAGGCTCCAGGTTCTGAGCCATCAGCCCAGAGCCCGACGCGGGGCTCGAACTCACGGACCGCGAGATCGTGACCTGGCTAAAGTCGGACGCTTAACCGACTGCGCCACCCAGGCGCCCCTGAAATAAGTAAACATTTTAAAAAATAGCTTCTTTCAGGCACTTAGGTATCTTATCCCTCAGTTTCCTGATTCTTTCCTCCCTCTTCTGATTACTAACTTCAAAGCTAAGGAAAGTAGTATAAACTACAGCTTTTGATGATTTTGAGCTGCTACAGCTGACTCATGCCTGCCTTGATGCCTAAGTATTCCATGTTTTCCCTCCGACCAGTAATGTCTTTGCCTCATTGCAGTTGTTTAGGGTTCAGAAGAACAATAATCTGATTAAATGGATTATTACGTGTAACTGGCTGATAGCTCTGAGATTACTCAGCCTGTTTACACTTTAAAAAGACATTACAGACCAATGTAACTCATGAACACAGAAAACTCCTCAACAAGATATTAACAAATTGAATCCGATGATACATAAAAAGAATCATACCACAGCTGAGTGGATTTATTCCAGGTATGCAAGGCTGGTGCAACATTCGACAGTTAATATAATCTGTCACATCAACAGGCTAAAGAAGAAAAATCATAGGATCGTGTCTTGCATACAGAAAAAGCATGTGACAAAATCCAATACCTATTCCTGAACTCACCACAAGCTAGGTATGAAGGGGAACTTCCTCAACTTGATAAAGAACATCTACAGAAACTCTACAGCTAACACCATACTTGATGAGAAACTAGATGCTTTGTCCCTAAGATCAGGAACAAGACAAGGATGTCCTCTCTAACCATTCCTATTCAACATCGTACTGGGAAACCTAGTTAATGCAGTAAGACAAGAAAACAGAAGGCATACAGATTGGGAAAGAAGGAGTACAACTGTCTTTATTCACAGATGTTCTGATTATGTAGACAATCCCGAAGAACTGACAAATTCCTAGAATTCATAAATGATATAGCACAGTTATTGGTTCCAAAGTTAATATATAAAAGTCAATTACTTTCCTACATATCAGCAAGGAACAGTTGAAATTTGAAATTTAAAAAACAATACCATTTATATTGGCACCCCCCAAAATGAGGTGCTTAAGAATAAATCTGACAAAACATATATAAGATCTGTGTGAGAAAAACTATAAAACTGTGATGAAAGAGATCAAAGAAGATCTGAATAAATCTTCTGAATTATCTGAATAAATGGAGTGACATTCCATTTATAGTGACATTCCATGTTCATGAGTGGGAAGATTCGTTGTTAAGATGTCAGTTCTTCCTAACTTGATCTATAGATTCAGCACAATCCCAATCAAAATCCCAGCTAGTTATTTTGTAGATACTGACAAAGTGATCCTAGTAAGGACAGGTAAAAGCCAACACAATACTGAGAAAAAGAAAATCAAAGGACTGACACTACCCAACTTCAAGATTTACTGTTAAGCTATAATAATTAAGACAGTGTGGTGTTGGCAAAACAATAGACAAATGGATCAATAGAACAAAATAGCTCAGAAACATACCCATAAAAGTATAGTCAGCTGATCTTTGACAAAGGAACGAAAGCAATTCAGTGGAGAAAGAATAATATTTCAACAAATGGTGCTGAAACAGACATCCACATGCAAAAAAAAAAAAAAAAAATCTGGAGACAGATTTTACACCTTGAATTAAACAACTTAACTCAAAATGGATCACAGACCTAAATGTAAGGTACAAAACTTTTAAAAGATATCAGGAGAAAACCTGGATGACCTTGGGTTTGGTAATGACTTTTTATATACAACATCAAAAGCATGACCCATGAAAGTTTAAAAAGTTTTGTCCCGTGAAGGACATTAAGAGAATGAGAAGATAAGCCACAGGCTAGGAGAAAATGTTTGCAGGACACATCTGACAAATGGCTTGTATCCAAAACATACAAAGAACTCTTAAAACTTAAAGTAAACAATGCAATTAAAAATTGGGCAAAAGAACTGAACAGGCACCCCACCAAAGTAGATATCCAGGTGGAAACAAAGCATATGAAAAGATGTCCAACATCATATGTCACTAAGGAATTGCAAATTAAAACAACAATAAGAAACTACTAAACTATTAGAATGGCAAAACAAAACAAAACACTGGCAGTACTGAATGTTAGTGAGGATATATAACAATATGAAGTCTTCATTCGTTGCTGGTGGTAGTGCAAAATGGCAGTCATTTTGGAAGACAGTTTGGCTGTTTCTCACAAAGCTAAGCATAGCCTTACTATATAATCCAGCAATCATACTCCTATGTATATTTACCCAAATGAATAGAAAACTTATATCTACCAAAAACCTGCACATGAATGTTTATATCCTAATTTCAAAAAACCAGAAGCAATTAAGATGTCCTTCAAAAGGTGAAAGAATAAACAATCTGTACAATGGAATGTTATTCAGTGAGAAAAAGAAATAAGTTCTTAAGCCACAAAAAGACCTGGCTAAACCTGGGGTGCCTGGGTGGCTCAGTTGGTTAAGCATCCAACTTCGACTCAGGTCATGATCTCACAGTTCGTGAGCCCCG